AAGATAAATAAAGCGACCGATAATTGGGTCATTTACCTTAATTTAAAAAAAAAAATTTTTTCTGGTAATTTGTAGAATATTCGTGCCATACATACAAGATGTCATGTTGTGTAAATTTATGAACTTATTTTTATATAGATTCTCTATAAGACATTTTTCCATTTTCATAACTCAACTAATGGTTGTTTTCGCTCATATGTTTAAAAATGACAATACAATAATATGTGTTTCTTCTATGATCGTCAATACTATCTGAAGCTTATGTTTTTGTTACACCGAACAATAACTATTAATATTTGATACTAATTTCATTAGAATACTTGAATTTTTTTTTATTCTAGGACAACTTTAAAATCTTATTTGCTAAGCAAATTAGGAAATTGAGAAAAAAAATCGTTAGTGTTCATAGTCTGTTAGAAATTCAGCCTTAATTTTTCATAAAATTTAGGTGGGTAACACTTGTTACACAAGCCTTTATATGTGTATATATAAGCACACATGAGTAAATATTTTTTAAATTTTATAATTGGTTTGTCAAATAAGATTTGAAAGTTGTACCTAAAATTACAAGAAATTTGAGTAAGATAAAATTAAATTAGGACCCTATGTCGACGTTTAGAACCATTGAGCCCATTAAAAGTCACTACACGATGAATTCCACTCAAACTATGACAAAATACTTTGTAAGGTTTTCTCTGGGTCTGGATAGTTTAAGAAAAGGCAGCGATTTGGCAAAGTGTCAGTACGTTCATAATCTGCAATAAAATACTTGCTCGCCCGATGAATCAAAAATCATTCGTGGAACGAGGTGGAAGGCACATATAAAATTGTATCCTTTCACCAACTCTGGGAATAACACCAGGACCGATTTGAATGGGTAACTCGTTGTGTATCAACAATAAAGATACTGTTATGTAAAAAAGGACAAACATATGATACAGTAATGAAAAAAGGCCTTGGCTATAGAATCAATAGTGACAGACACTGCAGACATGCTTCTATAGGCGAGAGGAGCGCAGTAAATTTTGTCAAGAGCAAGAAATACATGAAAAAGGTAAACAACAGTGAGCAACGGGAGAACAAGTTTTCGAGCTGCTTGTCGAATAATTTTGAAGGTAAAACGTGTTATAGTCACATTTTTATGAACCATATAGAAGGTAATATATGACACAATAAATGCCATTTAGCGTAAGTATGTAAAAAGCATTAAGAAATTATTAAAGGTTTCATTGCATAGAGATAAAAGTAAAGATAGAAGTCATTTTGTCGATGATAAGTCAGATTTTAGTAGTATGAAAGTGACAACATATAGAAAAGTTATTTTCAGCTTCAGGAAACATTAATTCAGTAAAGTCGTCAACTCGACAACTTGAACTAAAATACGAAGCAATGTATGTTGAAGTCGACACAATTTTGAAGTATCTTAGTGATGTAAAAAAAAATTTCTATTATAAGAATTAAGCTATGTTAAAGCTGCATGCTATGAGGCACTGGCAATTATTTTTGTTACACGTGAATTCCATCAGTAAATTTTTGGCTTTAAATTTATTTTTGATGGATCATACGCGATTGATTTTTATTTTTAGAGATCAACAAAAATTACTTTGAATGTCAGCTAGTCGACTGTTACCTTGGGCAGTAAATTTTTTGGGATATAATTATGAGATGGTACATGTTAAGAACAAAAATCAATGAAGTCAACTGCTCATTATAATTAATTGATTATGATAAAAGCAAAGATTGTTGGGCGAGTAAAATATAATTTTTTTTTAAATTTGCAATGCAGGAATCACTGTTAGCTACCGTCCAAAGTGTAGTTTTTAAAAAAGAGCACATTATTGTAAGAAATAGAAGGTAATTGGAGATCAGAGATAATTTAATAGTGTGCAGAGAAAATACATGTGAAATAAGATTAGAAAATAATTTTTTAATATATATTAATTAGTTGGTAATTCTTAATTGTTACTCAGTCAAGTTTTAAAAAAAAATTCCAAACGAAATTTACAAGTCTTGTTACGCAAATTTACGGTTCTTAAGGAATAATCAGTAAATGTAAGGCACTGGAAAAGTCAAATGCATTTTTTCAAAGTTTTATCTTCCTGTACTGAAAATTCGTAGATTGCTTCTAAGATGTAAAAAAAAATGTAATATGCACACTACGAGTAATTTGATAAGATGTATTTAATAATGCTGCACTTATCAAAATAAAAAAAAAAATTCAAATTGTGAAACACGTAGAGAAACCGAAACAAAATATAAAGCAAAAAAACTAAAATGAAAAAAATTACAAATACTTTAATAATTAAATAATAAAGGAAAGAATATAAAAAAAGATTTTGATGTTATTTAGTAACTACGTTTTAGTAAAAGTAATAATTTAAGACAATTATCAAAATCACTGCGAAAAAAATAGCAAAAATCTTCCTAAGATTCTATTTTTCCGTTTTTTTTTAAATATTTGACATTTAGATAATAATTTTCTCATTATTTTATCATGAAATTTTAGTTTTGAACTTGGATTTTTATTCTAAAAACCTAAAAGTCAAAAATAGACATCAGATGAGGTATTTTTCAAAATTACAGGACAGCACAAACAATAATAAGGTACAAAGGACGGACCCTAATTCTCTGACTTCCAGTTAAAATTCTGCTCTCATTTTAAGCAGTTGTACACAGCTACTCAGCTACACTTATAATCAATTAGAATTTAAATTAGATTCCGAGAACCGGTATACATCTATTACGCATTACTAAATGCTGATATTTTTACCAATGGTAGTAATGTCAACGAGAAGAAACAGAATACTAAAAGATAAAAAAATCGTTATAAAACCTAATAAGGTAACAAAACTACGCATTTATTATCAGACCGCAATAAGAATGAGTCAACGATCACTTTGAGCCATGAATGATCATAGCGTTTAATAGGTCCTTCAGATATGACTGATCTAAAAAAAAAAATCATTGAATTTCGGAAATGAAGAATAATTAAAAGTGATTCAGTATTATATTTTTATATATTATGATAAAGAATCATTCTGAAAATAAAATTTGACTTTTTTGTCTCGAAAACAGTAAAAAACTTTTTTTTTTAATTAAAAAAATCGTTGTAAGACTTTTCTAAAGTAAAAAGATACTTTCCTTACTTTAGTCGTTTTTTTTAAACATTTGGACGTTTAGTGCACATTCAGTAGAAAAAATAGAGTTTGCATCTGATGCTCATCCAACTAGGGCAAGCACAAAGAGTCCCTCGGGTCTTGATGTACAGGTAACTCAGGCCTGCTGCTTTCCGTGGCGACACGTACGACTAGGTACGAAAACTACTTTTTCACCTTGGAGCTGTTATAAGCTTAGAAAAGTTGACAGTTAAAGTCATGGGTAGTAAAATTTGTCGATGGGATATTTAAGTATTTTGTTGATATAAAAACATGAATGAATAATACTTTTCTTATAATACCTACATTAGAATTATTTTGGGAATCAAGTTAAGTTTTTTTTTTTTTAAATAATTAAGAACTGTTTTTTCAAAATCAAAAAATTGCTATACTTGACAACCCCAGTAAAATTCAAAACTAAATTTTTTTTCTAACTAATATAGGAAGAAAATCAAAAATTTTAAACCCTGGGTCATTAAAATCTGTCGATGGGTATATTTACGACAGTTTATTTTTACTGCATAAAGGATTCAGAAACAAAAAAAAACTTTTGTACAACATGTTGAACTTACTTGACTTTTTATTTTTGCTAAGTGGTAATTTAGATAGAGACATGGAACACATTTAATCACTAGTATTTTATTTCTGATAGCAGTTCTAAAACGTCCAAGTTATCTAACTTTAATTGAAAAGCAATAAGTAGATTTTTATAAGTTTTTACCAACTAGTTTCAAGAAAAAACATTTTTTAATTGGTAATCAATACATCTCTAATACTAATATTCTTTCGTTTCAAGTTGCTCATCGGAATCACTAATTTATTAATAATTTAAATGACACAAGTGACTGAATCTATAAGTGTGATAAAAAAATGATTTTAAAAATCTTCCTCTTTAAATGGCCTTACCTGTTAGATACAAATATCACAGTAAAAAAAATTTTTAAATGAAACTATTTCATAAATGTGTAAGTAATTAATATTTACCTAAATTGTACGACGGTTTATGCCACGCTGTCTATGCTTCCTTTCTCGTCTTTAAAGATCCTTCCCCTTACTCTTCCTCAGAAGCATGAGAAAAATTTTTTTATCTATGATTTTAATTGTGTAAAATGTATAGTCATGCGGCCTAGCAAGAGCAACATTTAATAAATTTGGTTACCGTGGTAATCAAATTTATTACGCGTCTGTGACCGTCAAAGCGTAAGAGTGTAATTAGCTTGCCTTGTCGGTAGTAAAGTACATTTATTTGTAGGTGTAGCTGCTAGCTATAAACGTGATTTGGTGTGCTACACGAACATCAGAAGTATTCTGATCGCACGTCCGTCCTCTGACGGTCAGTTTTTTGGACACATGTTGATTAGTCAACTAGACATGCCCTGTTTTAATTTTAAATTATCACCCTAATGAAGAATGAAGGTAATTTTATAGCAACAGCTACATAAACGGTATTATAGTTCTTGAATGAAAAAGTACAAAAGTTTTGGTCTAGGCAAGAAGATTCAAGGATTGTCAGTTAGACGTTGGATTGATTTTAATATGGAGTACTTAATACAATTTACTTATGAAGTGAGCTAGTCATAACAGAACGCGTTTCAAAAACTGTTCCAGAGAAACTTACATAAAGTTTTATTCGAATAAGAGTCATAAAGCCAACGGTTTATGTATATATAGGGCACAGAACATAGTGAAAGTGTTGCACTATCCTTGGTGCTCTGATCCTGCTTCTCTCAGCACAACGTTAAGATTTATCCCTCCTACTTCATCGAAGTCTATGGGAATGAGCTGTCGAGGTCTACATACATAAAACGGCGCAGAAGTGGGAGCGCAGCAGCATAACACACAAGAATGTATGCGTCTCTGGGAGACCCCGCGCGAGTGTTCCCATAGCATGTGCCGCTCTGCCATACGTTTTTAACATTGTTCAATTTGATACGTGTATGTTTCCAGTGCTACATCGTTTCGTGTCAAAGCCTTTGTGCTTTTACCTTTACCATAGTTTCAGTGTGCAAACTTGTGAGCTGTGAGTGTGGGCGTAAGTGGCGCACCAGACACAAGTAGATCGAGTGTTTGGCGATTAAACTATCGTATTTTCATAAATAATAGAGTTTTAGTGGAATTAATACATTTTATGGAAATATTCGCAAAAAAATTACAATGGGAAAGTCACGCACAGGAAAAACCGCGATTGGATTCACTGCTGCAGCTTTTGTACTACTAATTATTGCTTTCACCACGCCCAATTGGCTGCAAACTGATGGAAAACTGGATAATCCAAAATTCATAAAAATCGGTTCGTAGCTCTTTACTTGATAATTTTTTTTTACAATTCTTAAGCGACTACATACAACATACGATTCGCAATATGGGCGCGAATACTAATTTTTGCACCCATTTTACGAGTACTATATAAATAGATTGCACCTTGCCAATACTCCAGAATATTATGAAAGAAAGAAAGAATGTATATTATTTAAAAAATGAGACACACCGTAATAATACTTATACTAAGCACGAATAATTCGTATGTTTAACAAAAACTTCTAAAAATTATTTTGTTGCTTTTTTGTCTTTATTTTTTCCAGGATACTCTTCAATATAGTGATATTACTTTAGAGAATTAACATAACTTTTTTTGCAGTTGAAAAAACATTTTTGGCTAACGATATAATTTGTGGATGATTTTTAAAATAATAATAAGAATTTATAACTTAAAATGTATTGAATTATCTTAATTTTGAAGATGAAATCAATACAGTGCCAAACATGTAATATTCTGAACATTATCAATGTTAATAAGACCTACCTTAAATAGCTGATACTCGAATGTTTTTCGTATAAAATAATAATAAACTTAATGACTGACGAAAAAAAAATCTGCAAGTAAAAAAAGTGTTTTTAAAAATTTATGAGTTTTTTATGCTTATTTCTCGTACTTTTTTGAAAATTTAAGAAATAAAACTTTATGAAGTCCTGAAGATGAATAAAATTAAAATGTTCCCACCAAGTTGAAATTGTTTACTGTAAGGGACCACTATTTTTCAAGTGTTTCAAAGATAGTTTGCTATTTTTATTTCAAGAAAATCTTTCAAAAAGTGAATTTAAGTTATACATATAAATTATTAATTTAAAACTTTTAAAAAATAAACATTGATTTAGTTAACAGTCATAAAAAAATTAATTTGTTTCTTATCATGCAATTTTTAAGGATCCTGTCATTTATTTTTACAATTTTTAAGACTAGCATAAAAGACAAGTTGATCCAATTTATGATTTAAGTTCGCTAAACCGGTTTTAGTGAATTTTTAATTTGATGATATAGAGTGTAATGAATTGATAATTTTTTAATTTTAATTACTTATGTTTTTTATTTTTAGGATTATGGCAAGTTTGTTTCAATGGCTTTCAAGACATACGACATTTGTATGACACTCGTTTTTATGGCTGCTGGTGGGTTTTTCAAGAGGAATACTACATCATACACGATATTCTGTTGCCAGATTTTTTCGTGGCTACCCAATTCTTTTTCACTCTTTGTATTACCTTACTACTAATTGGTAGCTTTTTGTCAATGCTATATTCTTGCTGTTCTCGCCAACATGAAAAGTTTCAGTTGCTTCTATGGGCAACTGGAGCAAACCTTACACTGGCAGCTGTTTGTGGTATTATTGCAGTCATAATATTTGGTGGAAGAGGTGATTACCGAGATTGGATGCCTAACTGGGAGCACAATGATGTTGGCTGGTCTTATGCATTGGCTGTACTAGGTAGTTTTACTCTTCTAACTGCAGGTATACTTTTCTTGGTGGAAGCTAGAAGATTCAGAAAGAAAATCGAAAGAATACTAGAAGAATATTGAATTCTTGTTTACAGCTTTTTACCATGTAATATTCTGTACTACTACAATTATAATTTTAATTTTACTCATAAAATACGATTCTCAATTCCAAATAAAACTTTTACAGATATATTATAGATCTGAAAGGACGATAGACATCTGTGTCGTATCACACACCTAAAGAGCCAAAGTAAAGAATGTTTTGGATCGCATGTATATTCACCAAGGAAAATCTGTGAAAATTTACTTAGATGTTATGATAAACGTGGATTAATTTAATAACTCTAAACAAACATCTAAAAGCATAAAGAATTTTTACAGTATATTGAAAAAAAAGAAGAGATGACAAATATTCCTTACGTTGAAGGAAAAAAAAATTTTTTTTCAAGTGCTGTTGCGATGGGATGTTTGTTGTGTTCACTAAATTGGTTGACGTTCTACAGTATTCAGTAACAATAATTTTAGTTAAAGTTTAGAAAAATTGCATTCTTATTCGAACCAAAGGCTAAGGTGATAAACGTGCGATATAAAGCTTTTTTTACCCACTGCTGTGGTGTATTAACTATTTTTTATCGACTTGATCTAAAATAATATATCAGCCATCGCATAGCGAAAGCAAAAGTATTACTTTTGGTCAGGGTAGGCAAAAAAATATTTACTTTGCTATCAAATAGTGGAAGTAAAGAATGTGTTAGTTTTTAAAGTAGCTTAGATATTTTGTATTGAAACATATTTATATAATACTTCAAATTTTCATATTAAAGTCATTAATACATGTATAAGCGTACATGCACATGCTTAAAAATACTTATATTAAGGAATTATTTTTATAACAGTATTATCTGTAAAATGCTTCTATGTAACTAAAAATAAGTAACATGTTCCGTCCAAAATGCAACTTCAGCGTTATAGAAAAATGACTGAAATAATGTACATTGTAAATATTAATGGATTGACGTATGTATTGATATAAAACACGCAGCAAGCATCAAGTGCCTTTTATGTGTAACATATTATTTCTAGTGTTTTTCAATATTTTATGACATTGAAAATCGAAATACAAAATTTTTCTTTTGTATCCAATCCTACATACTTCAATAAAGATGATTATTTAGTGGTAGACCCCGAAATTTTTTTATTTTTTCATGTTCACATGTACTGACTAATCTTTGGTTTGTTATTACTCCAAAAAAGTACAAATTTTCACAAATTCACGAATGTTTTTTAAGTCTTACCATAAATTTTATATTTATTTAAAAAATCATGAAAAATGCAGTTTGATTTACAGTAAAAGAAAGGGCGAAAGACAGATTGGACTGTAAAGTGGTGGGGTTATCAGACAAGGTTAAATTTCCGCTCATGACGTATTGCGTCATTATTCGCTTACCATACTTCATTTTTCCAGGACAAACTTGAGAATCAGGGTAAAGAATTTTGAGAAAGACCTGTAACACGGTATCATGTTTCATAGTTCAATGACATGCAAGAACTTATCGAGCTCTTGGACTTTCATAAAACAAAGGTGAAAAGTTGGAACTATCGATGGATATAGTCTAGTTCTAGGATGTTAAATTTACCAAGCCTTCGTAATAAGTGTATAATCTTGCCCTGTCGGATAAACCCACAAACTCTTCGCAAGAAACCACGCCTTGATTTCTAAGCTGCCTTTTTTTTTGCATTTATTGTTGTACAGCGATGACGACTTATCAAATCAGCTTGACAAGAAGATATATTTTCGATTGTAAGACTGGCACTTATTCCAAAAGAAATAAGAGGATCAGAATAAGAGCATTTGATTGGCTTTCCTTATTCTTTACATTAGTAATTTATCCTTCTAAACCCTTATAACTTACCCGCATGATGTTGTACTTATCTAAGGTTACATCTATGGAATAAGAAAACTCTGTTTACAAAAATCTGGTGTATTGCTTTAGTTCCAATACAATGCTTAAGTTATTACTATTTTAGACTTAGATAACTAGTGTGAACTTTAGTATAGCATGAAAACTAGTTTCAAGCTCATATGTTAAGATATACAAAATATCTAATTTATCTGTGAAATTTCGCAATCGCAGTGGTTACCCATACTAATCAACTCATTACTAAAATTCTTTACGTAAGTATAAACGAAGAGATACTTCTTAAGGATTTTAGGCAAAAAAATATGCAAAATTTTAGGGTGGCTGAAAATATGATAAATTTACGTAAATTTCGGAATGATAGATTCGATAGTTTCACATAGATATCTGCGGTACCAGTACCTAACATTTTTAAAATGTACTCAAGGGCTGACAAAAGTAAATGAATATTAAAAACGTGGATTGCGTACTTATATTTTTGGATTAATAAGAGTACTTTCTTTTCAAGTAACCCAAAACGGTTCAAAGAATAAAAAACCTAGAAAGTACTTTATTTAGACTAACAGAATAATTTTAATTAATATTAACATTTTTGGATGGCTTATATAGTTATTACAATTTTTCTCTATGTATATGAAACATGATAATGGATGAATTTTTGTGTCAATATTGTAGTAGTAACCTTTTTGAACTTTTAAGGGTTAACTTAACTCCATAGCCAAATAATTATTTATTTGACGAAACACACTATTTTACTTAAACTTATCAGTGAAATGTTTTCATAAGAACTAAACTAAAAATATTTCCTAGGATATTTTTTTCTCTTATACTTTTCATAAAAACACGCAGATTTTTTTTGTTTGTTAGTAAAAATTTGTATCTTTAACTGGCGAAATCGTAATGATAATATCATGTTGGACATTGTCAAAAAGTTTTTTTTAATACATCACTGTTTCTTTATGAAATGTGAATTTGAGCAGAAAATTTTAGATGGAAGTGTCGCCAGGTATTTTTTAAACATGTGTCATGTCATAGCAAGCTCAGCATGCTTCAGCAATAGACGATGCCCTAATTTGCACAAGCATTTCGTATAGATCGATAAATTATTTGATCATGTTTTGATTATTCATCTTTTGATAATCTTGGGTGACTGGTTCTTATGGTATTCCTTGGAATGCATATTTTCTTCAAAATAAATAAAAACATTATAGCTTGTTTGAGGAGCTAATTCATACGTGAAAATTTTTTTAAAATTACTTTTCAGCTCTTTTAACTTCCACAATACAAGAATTATTTTTTTTTGTTAAAAGTTCTTATAAAAAAAATACATGTTTACCACATTAGCAAAAAACTTCAATGCCTGCTACTCGTTTATTCCTAGTTTGCAATCGCATTCTGGAATACAATAATTTTTTTTTTTTTTTCTTTTAAGAAAAAGTACAGTTGAACGCTATTTTCATTTACAACTTTATATGGGAATATAAAATAATAGGACATAACACATAAGGTTTCAGCCAAAATTACGTATGTTTCAGGTGATAAACTCATAAGATATATTTGATCAATCAAATTTTACTTCATCAATTTTTATTTGTAAATAATCCTTTTCAAAAGTTAAGAGTTCCAGTACTATCTTAAAAACTGGTGATTTTTGCAGTATTTTCTATAGAAGAACCACCAAATTTTGAAAACGCACATTTAAATATATGTTTGTATTTTCAATTGAATCACAATGGCATGCAATCCTTTTTAAAAAATGAATATTGTTACATGTGACGAAATTTTTTTTCAAGAGGTCTGTTGAGTCATAATGTAACAAAAAAAGTCGTAATGTAACGAGTAAAAGATCGAGTGTTTTAAGTTTTGAACTTGTTGCATAATGCATAAAAACATTCATTTACGTGGTAGCTCATGATGGGAGTTGACCAAGAATCTGGTGTTTATGTATTTCAAGGCGTGACAGAGCGCCTGGCTTTGTTTTCTTGATTTACCTCGCTCTCCATTATGTATTAACAGTAGTATGTTGTTAATACGTACATTCTCATCTTGTGCACACGTTTTCGTAAATGTTTGTATAAAAGTACTGGATAGCATAGAAATGATGCGCAAGTGAGACATACATCACACAAAATGCAAATCTCATTTTTTAGGCAACTTGGTGACACGTATTTCAGTAAAATGGCCTCGTGATTGTACCTAGTCTGCTTAGGAAAAAAAAGTAATCGCAAAAAGCGTCCTAGCTGCAAGGTCGCGAATACGATCTTGTGTACTCCTAGCACAGTGTTTGGGTGCAGATTTTTAGTTTGTAGAAACGGAAAGTGGAAGATCAGCTACACCTGCATACCTATCGGTGTGTGCATGTATGAATAGGAATAGGCGAAGGAAGAGAAGAAGGAAGAGAGCTGAGCTCATGCGAACCTGCAGAGCTTACTTTAATCATCATATACTTACGCTGCAGAGGATCTACTACTTATGTAGCTGTACGCACGTATACGCAACGCCTTGAATCAAATGCACACGCTGAGTGGCAGTAGTGGGGTCTTATTAGAGGTGAGAGTGCGAGTTGAGGAGAGAGAGAGAGAGAGAGAGAGAGAGAGAGAGAGAGAGAGAGAGAGAGAGAGAGACAGACAGACAAACCCAAGAGCTGGCTCGCATTGAAACAACGCCCTACTGTACGTTTTACAGAGTTAGCTGCGTAACTTGGGGTGGACAGTTCTAGTACAGCTGCAGCACCGAAGTCGGCTCATTGACACTCACAGGTATGTTTTGCTTTGGAACCTTGTCTCACTTGTGGCACAGTTTTTGACGTGAGTTTGTCTAGCATCAACGGCCAAAGCAACAGCCTCGCGATACCAGAACCACCAGTTGAAGAAAGCGGGCACAGGAGAGCGACGCTTTCTGTAAAATTGCACAGTGCACCATCGACATCCAGGGCTTACCACATTACACGAGTGACGAACTGGAAGTAGGTAGGCAGCATGAAGAAGCGTAGCCTGGCTGGGAACGTTGGCATTGGGATATTTTTGCTGGCCCTCGTCTGCGTCGTCCTGGCGTTCAGCACGTCTGGATGGCTGGTGAGTGACCAACGCATCACCAACGCCCAGCTCGAGATGCTTGGGCTCTGGAGGCACTGTTTTAGATCCCTGCCCAACCCCATCGAGGCGGATGCGCCAAGACGTTTTTTCGTCGGTTGCAGATGGATCTACGACCCATTTACCGCTGGCTACTCCGACATCCGAGGCTTCCTTCTACCTCGTTAGTATACACTGCAAATTTATCACTACATTTAAGTAGAGTCGATCAGCCATCGTTTTCCCTTTGCATGGCTTGGATTTTCCACAATTTTACACCTCCGTCAGTTTTTCGCTCATTGATATTTTTGACAAAAAAGACAACAACGTTCTTTACCTATGATTATTTGCACTCTGCAATTTGTTGGTTTCTTTAATACTTCCATGAACCTTGAAGTTAAAGGGACCTAACTACTCAATTTCTTAAGAGAGTGCATGGTATTTATAAGGTATCATAAATACACCATATCAAGGACAGCTCTACAGTATCTAAAGTTTTTCCCAACAAAGTAATTTTTTTATGTTTGGGAAGACAAATAATGATGGATATGTACAACATTAGTATCTTGGTACCTAAATAAGACTGTATTTAAGTTTTTATTGTTTGTAAACAAGTCTTAATATAAAATAGCTCAAAATTTTCATTCCAAAAAGTGTTTGAAACAAAAGTACGATTGATCAACTTATTTTTTTTTTTTAGCATTCATGTTAGCCACGCAATTCTTTTTTACAATTTGCTTCTTGGCGTACTTGATTACACTGGCCTTAATAGTCCTGTACGCCACGTGCTGGAACCCAGAAGAAAGACGTTATGTACTACTCATAACTACCATTGGCGGTGTCCTGACGATTGGAAGCATCTGTGGCTGCATTGCTGTTATTATATTCGCGCTATTCGGCAATGCTGACGGTTGGATGCCTGGTCACTTCAATAACTTTTTTGGATGGTCGTTTGTTGTGGCCATTGTTGGAAGTGTTGCCGGTCTCATTGCTAGCTTATTATTCCTTGTGGAAATGAATATTCAGAAGAAAAAACGAAAAAATCTCAAAGAATCTCAAACACGATTTCCCATTGAAACTCGTAACTAAGTGTTAAACTCTACACTTTATGTGAAATCCGTCCAATTTAAGATATTTATAAGTGACTATGACTTTTTGTAAAACAAAATTTAATTTAAGTGCATTGTATACATAAAATTTGTCATTAATTGTACATGTACATCGTGTAACGATGATAACGATATCCGTCCATAGGTTTTAGTACAAAATTTTATAAGCTAAGTATTATCATTATTAGTGCGTATTATACGTCGTTATTTATACAAATGCTTTTTTAATTGTTATATACATTTTTTTCCAAATAAATACAAAATTTACTACAAAATACAGAATTATGATTATGACGCATCTATTTTAATCAAACAAAAAATAAGATCACTACAAAAACTATTGTTATTATCACTATTTTTTTTCACTGGGATTGTTTAAAAATTATAAAATAATTACTAAGAACCACTATCTAAGTAAAATTTCAACCTTTTCTTGGTTACATAAGAAAGACTGTTGAAAAAGTACATTTTTCACACTCCACTCTGTAACCAAATATGTTTCACCTTACTTATTAGAGTATCTAATTGATTACATCATGAGGTAAGCTTCATAACTTAAATTAATCAACTTTAATTAACGTTCATTCTTTTTTTCTTCAACTCAAATAGTTCTGAATTATTTTGAAAAAATTCAGCATTAAAGTGTGTGAATATGTGAACATATCACTCCTGAGTTTGACAACACTGAAAAAAATTATAATAAAAATATCAATCCAAATAAACGTTTATTTATTTGAATAAAATAAATATTTATGCTAATCTATTACATGTAACGTTATAAAGAAATTTTTTATTTGCTGTAAATTAATATCGTTTGATTTGAATAAATGGTTATTTATTTAAATATTTTTTTGTTTATATTCAAATAAAGCTTTATTTGGATTAACGAAATGTTTTTTCAAGTGGATACGAGATATGTTAAATTATAAAAATAATTTTTTTTTTATTCAATATCGATATTACTTAAATAAAGCTATTTGTTTTTTACAATAATAAATTTTATAAATAAAATATTTAACTAGATGAATCAGTAATCTCTGATTTTTTAATGAATTTGTAAGGAAATTAGATTATACTTGCCATATCTCAAAACAAATGGTTACTTTTAGTTTGTTTTTGTTATTAAGTGTATATTATACTTGGAACTATTAGTTTCGTATTTCTTGCCCTTTTTTCTATTTTTTTTTTTTTTTTTGAGGGTTTAACTCTTTATTTGTATATTTAAAAATTTTCCCAATGAAATTTCGACCTTAATTATTTCGGTGGCGTTTTTTTGAAAGTATTATTTATTAATTTATATTTTGTTGCGACAAGTTTTGCCTTCATGTGTAAATCCCGTTACACTACTTAATATGTCTATAACTATACAATATTTTTTTTACATCAATCTATTATCAACTTCATTCACTCTACACCAGTAAATAATGGTGTGATGGGGTATTGGTGCTGATTGTCCCTTTTAACTCGAATTCTTATGGAGAAAATCTGAAATTTCGATGACAGCGGACATTTTTTTACCATCGCATCTTTTCTTGTGTTTTCATCTTAACGTATGCTGCAACGAATCAAAATAAAACTATAGACATTTTCTAGATTACGATTTCACAACTTGGAAGGACTTACAATTCATTAAAAAAAAACAATTAATTTCAACTTCAGAAACGCTTCAGCAGTTTCTAAAAAAATTTTCATTTAACACGCCAAGCTTACCTGACTTTTTGCTTTTGTTCAAAGGTACATTTTACGGGGATATTATAGGTTTTAGGAAAATATTAATGGTCTGTTGAAATAATTTCTTATTTGACTATTACACGAAAAACCAAATATTGCTATTATATAATAATTGGTTACCTAGATGGTTGGATTGAAAAAGGTCTAGATTTACACATTCACAGCATATTATCAAGGACATTTCGGACAAAATTAAAGTTTCCTGACTTATCGACGGAGTTAGTTAACATTCTATCTGTATGAATAGCAGTTTTATTGAAAGTACAGTAATATGCGTGTATTTCTTACTTATGACACACGATAAGAAAAATGGATAATCAAGCGATGTCTTATTTGTCTCTCGTCAAATTTTTCGTTTTTCTCTTTGAACTCCAAATGATATGTCATCAAATTTAGGCTTGATTCATCATTTAAAATGATAAAATTGTTAAAGAATACTTTTTTAAAGAAAGAGCTATTGTTTAATATTGGGTTGAATTACCAAAAAGTTTAAAATTTCGGATTTCAAATGTAAAAAAAACTATAATTATTTTTTGAATCATCGTAATTGATTATTTGAAGTTCATATTTGTTGAAAAATTAAGCGACTTCTAGAATTTACTCATGTTTTTAACCCTACAAAAACTACAGAAACAATGTGTAATTTAAGTCATTTCTACTGTTGATGAATAATTTTTAAGTGTCATTACTAATAGATTTGATTATTAATAAATTCGTCTTTTGTACGCAGTGTTTTTAGGTTTAAGAGTATATTAATTTTATTTGAGATACTTGATTTTAATAAATTTAAATTTTCCGCCAAGGAGGTAAACATATTTTTCATAAGCTAAATCATTGCAGTCCCCATTTTTTTACTAGAAGGCCTAGAATTTATAAACACAATTTACAGTACGCAATAAGATTTTTGACAGTACTTAAATTTTATTCATTATCTTTTACCTAAAAAAATTGCCATTTTATATGCAGCTTAGTGGATTAAAGCATCACATTATCTAACAGAAAATTAACCAATGCTATAACATTAATAAATGCATTACAAAAACAAAAAAATTAGTAAATAGTAACAAAATAGATTCAGAAGTTGTGACAATGCTAAACCTCAGACTTTGAGAAATATAATGTTGTGTAAAATAAATTTTGATAATGTTAATTTTGATAATGATAATTTTGATAATGAAGAAAATGAAAACAAAAACAACTGTAAACATTTTAGAAAAACATCAGGTGTAGCCAAGAATATGATTCAAACTGGCGATAGTTCGACTATACAATGTCATGTAGTTTTTTTGATAAGATACAAAGAAATTATTGCAAACATAAAAAAATTCTGAAATCATCAAGACCTTGCTATTTATTTTTATACGTATGAAGATCGATATCGCAGATTTGGTCCTCTAAAATTCATATCATTTCTGTATAATAATGAAGTAGGAAGGCAATTACGAAAACTTGTATATTTAGCTAATAAGCATAAGTTGTACAATGTATGTAAACACGCTTATACTTTAAAAAAATTAAAGGTAAACCAATGAAATATAAAACTAGTAAGGAAATTGTGATACCGATTTCTTTCGTCAAAATATTTTTAAAATTGTATACTTATAGATACTACTTAATTAAAAAACTTGAAAGAAAACATAAAAAACGTCAAAATGTATCAATGACATCTAATACACAAAAAGTTACAATTTACAAACGCATGTACGAAGTCTCATCCGACACAAGAAAATTTGTAAGTACTGAATTTGTGTGGAATCTATTTTTATCTTAAGAATATCTTCTTAATTTTGGTGAATAAATATTATGAGTGTAAAAATTTTTTTTGAAATACGTCTTTGGAAGAAATTGTTTAGAAAAATTCCTAATTATGATCCCTCAATTTTTTGCCACGCCAAATTCCTAAATTTTGCTGAAAAGTGCTGATATATTACTTTAGTATAGTGATGTACTAATATAATATAACATGTAGGGGTACATAGCCTAATTATTGAGGGTTATAGTTATCATTATATAATTAATTAATATGGTGTGGTCTCTAAACAAATTTTGGTCTATTATAGGTTAAGCAACTTGATTTATTTTTAAAGGTATGATTAATAAGTATACAACATCGTTTGTAGAATTATTACTCGGACCCTTGATAATATAGGCATAGCGCTTGTGAGTTTTTATCAGGTCAAGGATACCACTACTACGCGTATTATTCGATTGTAGTAAACACCGTTTGATGATTTCAAGTTTTGGATCAATTTGTAGCAGTTTTAGAGGTCTTAGGCATCAGCACATGCTTAACTTAGCTGTATAATCAAACAGCGTTTGTTGCAGTTGAAAACCTTTTAATTACTCTAGTACTTGTAGGTACCAATGTACGATTTTACGGAAACTTACAAAAATATTATTTTCAAATACTCTTACATAATAATACACAAATGACTATAACTTGTTCTGATTTCCGAATAAATGTATGGAATTTTAAAAAATATTAAGAAAACCAAGACGTTTTTAAGAATATTTTGTAACTTTTCGAAAATAGTCTGTTAATTTTTGTTAAATAAATTATACACAAGTTAGAAAATATTCTAAAGTGTATTCTCAACGCCTTTGACTTCCTTACTTTTTTCCATTGCGATTCAATGGTTGAAATTTTGAATCCAAACAAAAGTAGCGTGAAAGGCAACATGAAATAGGTATACCAGCAAACAAAGGGTGCTCTATTCACATGGAACTGCATGCCATCGCATCTGTTGAAACAAGTGTGTGAGTGTGTAAAAGCAAGCAAACACGCTTTTATCTGTCTCTTTTACACTCGAATACTGGTACCTTACTACAGCTCATTCAACGACGCCACCATATACCTCCAACGTGGAGACGAAACTCGGAAAACACCAGTGCATGCGGCCATCTCAATCCCCACTAAGCATTTATGAGAAATAGCGCAGAGGAATGAGCAATAGTCGCCAATAAGGCGTGGTCGAATCAACACGTTCAGTATTAAAATTTTAAATTTTATCCTACAAGTGAATACATAGTTTACTTAATATTTATATTTTTATACGAAAGAACATACATTCAATCATCATACCAATATGTTGGATTATCCACGGGCATCCAGTAAGTGTAAATCTATTGTTAATAGTCATGAAAATCTAACCTATAGTGTAATAAAACATTTGTAGATGCCGTGAATGTCGGAGGTTCGATTACATTTGTAGCAGGTATATTGTTACTTATGTCTCTTTGGAGGTAAGCATTATCATTAAACATACCTTACATCAGCTAACTTTTTTAATATTAACGAAAATAATTTTTTCAGCCCTTATTGGATGCAATCATATGAAGAAACATTCAGTAGTTTCAAAAATATGGGAGTCTGGCAGTATTGCTTTGAAAACTTTCGTTATCCATACTTTCAATTTGACAAATTATTTAATGGTTGTCATAGTGTTTATTCAGAAGAATACTACGTCATTAGAGAATGGCTACTTCCAGGATGGCTATTGGTAGTACAAGCATTTGTAACTACAGCATTTTTACTTTCTTTATTTGGACAAACAGTCTTAGCAATGATCCTGACAAGGTTTCCACTAAAATTTGTTTTGGAAAATGAATGGCTCCTTTCAAGTACAGTTAGTATTTGCGACGGCATTGCTGGTAAGTAAATGTAATTCTGGGTATCAAAAGCATGCTATGAAACTAGTGATAGATAGTATACAAATTTATATATTGTTATTTAAATTAATATTTTAAAACACCCTATCAAATTATAATTCATTATTATGAGGAGTTGGTCTCTAAAAAAAAACAAATAATAATAATTACACTCCATGACCACGAATTTTATTAAACTTTGGGAGATAGTTCAGATGATTTTACACAGACAGACGTTAAACGTTACGTCAAACAGACACAGTATGGCTGAAACTGTACACAACACGCTTACTTTTATGTTTTTCATTGTTGAAACATTGCTTATCCAACATTTTTCAGCATAACTTATAACGTTCATTTCAGTACGATTGCATAAATACCTGTCTCATCTGGCTTATACCACATAAAACAATGTACACTTATCCCATTTTTATTAGTGCAGTCGAATGACAAAAAAAGTATACACATGTAACGCCGAATGGTGCACTTCTAAATTTTGTTAAGGAAATTATATCCAACTATAGTGTCCTATTTGTTTTTAATATTAACAAATCTTTAAAATCCAATACAAAAATTTGAAAATAACAATAAAAATTTTTATTAACAATTAGATGCTTATGAAGTTTTGCAGTAGTCAAACAGTTACCACATTATTCTGCGATTCAATAATTTTTCATTATAAATTTGGGTTGATAAAAAAATACTACGTATCAATTGGCACAAATTCTTTAGATTTTAGGTAGTGCTTAAAATTTTGTTTCTATAATAAGCTGTAATACTTTTATACTTTTCAATCCATTAGTAGCCTTTTTTTGTACGCAAGTGGATTTATAGTAATTAGTTCTGTCTTTTCTTCTTGAAAAATTACTATCAGTTGAGAAGTGATTTGAACAATGTAAAGATATGCCTCATTATTTTGTCAGAGAAAAAATATAACATAAATCATTTATTCGCGACGTAAAAAGAATTTTTAACCGAATATGTAAGTAGGTCTCATAGTGTACGTATGAACGTGATAGAGTTTTTTGAGTAACTGTTAACCAATTGAGCCCAAATTTTGTAGACATAATTTTATGCGTTACACGGTTATCCTAGCATGAAACGGTAGACAATAAAGAGTCAAATCCAAAAGTTGTAGGGTGAATTGAACCAAAATATTTTTATTAACTTTTCAAATAAAAGTTAATAGCCGTAAAAATCGTTTTAAAAGTGTTAAAACTTATTCTATAGCATCTAATTTTTGTACATTACTTTTGCAAATAAAATGTTGAATGTAAAAGTTTTAGATCTTATAAAAATACCTTTTTTTTGTATTGACCCTTTTTGTCCATATTTTCCTAACACTTTGAACACTATAATTGAATAAAAATAGCTAAAATATGGTCTAATAGCATATAACTTTTTTACGTTTTACTTTTGGACTAAGTTTCAATATAAAGCTTATAAGTTATATTTATGTTCATTGTTTGTCGTTTGTTATTATTGTTTATAATCTTGTGTTAATACAGAAGATAATAATAATCGTTATGAAATACCCAAATAATTTTTTCCCAGCATGTAATTTGTTATTTTATGTGACATATTCTGGACAAATATTGTGCTAATTAGTTTTATATTAAACATATTAAATAATATAAAACTTGTTTAAATGTAAAATTAAACCATTAACATCGTCTCTGAATTGAACTCTTCAATTTAAATCACACTTTTCCTCTGAAAATCTATGCATTAATCGTGCGTGCCTTACATGCAAGACGTGATAAATTTAGCCACTTGTTTTTTTTAAACTGTCTTCTCAAAAAGTAGTGAGATCCACAAAGAATCTTTTCCAAACTTCAACATACTCAAATAATTGTTGCAGCTCATAAGAATTATTTTGTTGCAACACATAATCCATCAACAGCAATATCAGTACATTTGAGGCGAAGAAATATTGCAGATCTCACTAGTAACTAGCTCAGTAGGCTGTCGCGGTAACCCAGTAAAAAAAAATCTGTTCCTCTTTTAATTTTCTATCGATTTGAGCAAGTGAGATTATCACAAACCAATTTTTCGTAAAGTTCTCATTTAAAAAAGAGCAAACATTGTCATTCGAATTTACGAAGATTGAGTATCATAGCTTCAACATTTTTTAACGGAACTCCTTCATAATTTAAGAGTTATTTATACTTATGTCGATCTTACATTACGCCTAAAGTGTTTGTTATAAAACTAAAAATGACGTCACAAAACGAAAATTGAATTCAACTAATCAGGTCGTGAAAATATAGTGAAAAAATGGACTCGAAATTTCAGAATAGACGTTTCTGAAAATACTGTAGGCTTTAATATGCAAGGAAAAAATTTTTTTTTTATTTTGCAACATCAACAATTACAAATGACTCAGTGATTTTCATGTTACATAAACAAAATCGGTTTTATGTAGAAGTGCTTAGTTATTCACGAATTCAAAAAGAAAATGCAATTCACTATGAAAATTGTTATTAACAAATTAGTGCTTTTCGTAAAAGTTTAGTTCTCACTCAATAAAGTAAAAAAAAAATTCATTTTCGCTATTTTAAGTATGAGACCGGAGATACTACGCTCCGTTGCATACATTTTGGGGTTATAAAGGTAGCATTAAAGAACGATGATTAAAAGAGATTTTAAGCTATTGACCTTATTCACTATTTTTGATGCCTTGACTACAGAACAATGTGTAATACAGCGTTGGACTTAAAGTATATTTTGATTAACTGCTTTGCTTGCTTGAATTCCTCTCATTGTTCTTTATTGTAATTTTTACCATTATTGAACACTTAACATAATTTTTCAAACTGTTTTTCACTCGTTATTGCACGTTCAGCTTCTCTATTATTCTCCAAATATCCCTTAATCTTATCAGATGCTACTCTTCAACTTAAAAAGCATGTCTATTTTTGCCCTTAAAGTACAAATTGCTTTCTACATTATTTTTTTCTAACTAATATTGAGCTTACATCATTTTCTTTTTCTAAGCAACCTCTCCCCTTTTTTGTATGCATTCTGCATAAATTTTATAGTGTGTGATTAATACTGTTAAGATTTTGTAGATGTCAGCTTTTCTTTAAACATCTTTTTTTGTATGTTGGGATTATTATATCTTTTCTATACACACCCAGAAATAATTTTAAAGTTTATTTAGGCTTGCTAATTAACTTTCCTCTTTATTTCTCTCCAAATTTTTGTTTTTTCTTCCTCTTTTTTTATTTCTCTTTCTGATAACTCAAAATCTTTGAAGCATTTCCTAAATTACCCTACTTTTTCCTCTTTTATTGTATTTAAATTTTTAAAATGATTTTTGTTCATCCGTAATCATATATTGAGTTTTTTTTTCCTCGTAATTTATTTGTTGGCTTCATAAATGTTTTCTTTTTTTATTTTTCTCAACGTTTTTATTTATAAATTGTCGTCCTATAGTATCAATTTCCTGCAGCACTTTTCCTCTCTTACTACTGATTTTTTGAGCATTTTTCTTCTTCACCATCAATTCTTCTCCACTCTTCGATATAAATGATTTTAAACTTTTATTGATCATTTTTTACCTCATTTTCTTTTACTATACTTTTTCTCCTTAATAACCGTTTAGTTTTGCTTTACACACTCTTTATGTAACTCTTAATAAGTGTCTTACAACTGTTGGCAGATGCTTCGAGCATATAAAGATTGTACATCAAAGTCTACGACTTTTTAACACTGGTATTGACAAAATTACACTTGATAAAGATTATCTATCACGTTGTCAAAACGACATTTCTTATTTACAAATAAATATATGAATAGCATAATACTTAATTTTTTTTATTGCTATCTTACTTCCACTTACTGTTTTTGGATACATTGTTTTGAATTAAATTTTATATGTTATTAACTTATTGCTGTGACTCCTACACAATTTCATCTGACGTATTAGGTTCATTGCAGTATTTGAGATATTTTTTAATTGTTTATAATGTATTTGATATTAATTACCAGTGAATGAATGCGTTCTTCAGTACAACTTAAAAAACTTTTCTAAAAGTCTTTTTTTATAATTTTTTTCATCCGTACTGTAGTCGTAACATAAATGACTAATAATCGCATGATATGATATCTTATTCGCAGATTTTATAAGATGATAATTGATACCGACTATACTCAAATGATGTGGTGCGTTGTAGTAGAATAATGTCTAACATTAATTAGTGTAAAGAAAATTTTAATGGTTTACTATGTATAACAAACCATTAAAAGTTCAAGATATTTTATTTTAATTCATGAGCTGCAATATTTTTAAAAGAAAAATTATATCCTAAAGTTTTATGAAAATCCATTATTAGAAACTCAAAAAATCTTCTTGTGACTAAAAACCAATTTTTAGTTTTTAATAAAAAAACAGCACATTTTTTCTTGATTACAAATCTAAAAACTAAGATCAAGTCTTACACGAACCATCAGCTCCTAAACGTTCAACGAAGTTTCAAACTAAATATACAAACACTTGACATAAATAATTTTATGACGAATAATGATCCATGTATAAATTTTAGCTACATTGCTGTTTCTTTCTGTAATTATTTTTGGAAGTCAGTGTCGGAGAAGAGATTGGTTGATGTATCCCAACTTTAATCATCTGTCCTGGTCTTACTGGTTAGCTGTTATTTCGTGTTGTATGCACATAGTTGGAGCCTTTTTGCTCTACTTGGATGCTAAAGCTAGTTATGGAAGACGAAGAGAATCTCGAAATTTGATAATGCAAATGCAACCAAATCCTAGAACTCAACAAGGACTGCAGCGAACAAATTATTTATAATATATTTTTTACACTTTTCGCGTTTTTTTATGTTTATAATACCATATTTATAACTCCATGTTATTGGAAAGAAAAGTCCGTCCACTTTTCAGCTTTATATGTTATCAAGATACTTGATAGTATATGTATCAGTATAAAAAACTGAAATTTTCATTGCACTAGTACAAGTTTTATATGATGAAACTATTCCGTCCGTCGATTATAAGAACTTGACTGTTAGTATTTAAATATTTTTAATGTTTCATGATTATTACTATTATATTATCAATTATAATAATTAAAAAACCTTATTTCTCTTTATGAAACTAATTTATTTGATGTATTGTAAAATGTGCTTAATATGTGCAAAGTAGGTACTTCGTGAGAACTAAAACATTTTGTATTACTTTCAGTAAACTACAACTTTTTGCGATCCGCCAATTTCTACATTTTAAGCATCAGTTTCATACAAAAATCTATCAAAAAAATGTACTGGATAATTTTTATTTTGTACATATAAATATATGTAATTTCAATACATAAACAGGATTTTTGCTGATTTGTCAAATTAAAACTCCTTTAGAGTTAAAACAAGTATTTAAATACATTAAATTAGTAAGCCTCTTATTTACGGCAAATAAGCATTTATATGCTATAAACTGTTCAGCGGCTTTTGTTTTTGAATGTACTGTTGAGGTGGTGTATTTTCAACCAGAGCAAATAGTGTAACCAAGCCCAACCAAAGTTTTAAATTGACTTTGTGGAATAGATGTCAAAAATTAGTTGACAAAATTATTACTTACGGGCCATTTTAATTTTATGCAAACAACAATGTCAACTTCATGAGGTAGATAAAATTAACATAGTTATTTTAAACCAACTGTAAGAAATGAAAGCATTTGAATTGTCTGCCAAGTACAAATAATTTTTATAAACAATGAATAAGACAACACAGTTTTATTTCAAATTTACGTATGTCAATGATTCTGTGAAATAGTTTAAAAATTTAAATTACTGCATATATCATCCAATCTCACTCTGAAAAATAAAATCGATGCAACTGAAGACACCATAAGAGTAGCGGTTATTTCACATGACATAGCAGCCAATGACTCTTGCGCAGGTTCTAAAGCTGTACAAGTTAGAGCACAATATGTGTCTAAGCAGCATACGAATTAGTCCGAAAATGTTATTTTCCTTTAAGGATAACATAAATGGTCGAGTCCTAACATTTTACATACAGACCTGTTTTGAAGTAAGAGTAAGGACGACCAACTGTTTAAGCTTTATTACTGATTCTTTAGATTGTTTTGAATCAAAATTATCATCTCGTGTGACATGAAAGGAAATAACTTTGTAAAAGACTATGTATAACTTTTGTAAAATACACTGTCTTGTTTATCCAGGCTCATAACACAGCTGAAAATTTTTTTTTTAACCATAATAATAGAAAAAACAATAATTCCGAGGAAGTTAAGACATATCTATGAACTCCTTTCACTTGCTCCTTTGTTATCATTAATAATTCTAAGGTTTAAAACTTAGGATTTTGGAGAATTGCTATTTATTTAAGTAATCATCAATACATATTATCCAAATTTCGCCGTCATGCTGATGGCCTCTTCAGAATTAAAAAACGTGCAGGTGTCAAGACAGCACGTAGAAAGGACACTGATGGCGCCTAAATTTCGAGGAATGTTTCATAATGATGGAAAGAGTACTCTTTAAAATTTATTATTCGGAGCCCTAAAACTTTTTTAGTAATTTTTGTTTTAAATTACCTTGAACATAAATGTAAAGAGCACTTCTTGCTGTGTCACGCAAAACATTATGTACATCCTCGATAATAGCTTCACCATCAAACCACTCAAGCCCGTGAAAATAACACGTTAAATAGCTATTTGTAGCTAAAAGTTCTTTCTCATTTAATACTTTTTTTTAATCGATTCCATTTTTTCTTTATACCTAAGATCTGTTTAAAAATTTTTTAAATCATAATTTTTAGGTTTAACACTCGGATTATAATAATTAGTGTTGTGTCGTGTACTATAATCGGTTTTCAAATAAAATTTTTCGATTTTAATTTTTTCTTTATCCATTTAATCAGTGGGCTGAAGTTAAAAAATTTTTTTTGTTACGTTTGTGTCTTCGTCATCGTTAGAGTTACTGATTGATTCTGTTTTATTCATCATTTTGTCGGTTTCGAATTTTGTTTTATTTCTTTTATTGCTTTCTTTAATTTTAAAACAATCGTCTGTTATATTTCTTATTTTATGTAATTCATCCTAAAAATAAGCTCTTGACTGTATTGTATCAATCACTTCTATTTCTTTCTCAAAAATTTTTTAATATGTCTGTTTCTTCTTGAACATTACCCGTATCAATTTCATTATCCCACAATCGTTCTGTGTATAGCTCAATACTTTCATATTGACCTTAAATATCACACTTGTAGTGAAAGTTTCAGAAATTCAATAAATTGTCACAAGTTCCATTAAAATTTTTGCAACTATAACTACATTGTATTTCAGCTTTTTTGTTTTAACACCGAGTATTTTTACAATTAGTTTCACAGACACAATATATCTGCAATCAAATTTACTCTCTTTTTTAATAACAATTAAGTCTTTAAAAATAATTTAATCATTCATTCATATGATTTAATAAGTTGAGTATTTAAACTTGGGCGAACAGTTATTACAAAACACTGTGAGTATTAATGTATCATATAAGTAACAATATTTTACAACGTTTAAGTATCATTTTAAAAGTTTTTCATAATACATTTGCAGCAGGGGAAGGATTCAAGTATTAAAAAAACGTTTATAGTATAAAATGTTTTTTAAAACATTATCATAGAACAACTCACCATTACCAGCAACTCTTTGGTGGGATTAACTCATATACTTATAGGCAATTGTTACGAAAATTTTCAAAAACTTAGACAAGTAGTAGCACGTTAGTCTTCAAGCATAAATTTGAATACTGACCAAGTGTTTGAATGTTGAAAGTATTTCAGACACTTTTAGCATGCTCATACTCTTTATCAGTAATATGAGCTTCGCATAAATTATTATATAAATCTTGTTTTGTTGGTAACTTTTTTTTCTCTAGTTTTTCAAACGAGAATATATAATGATGAGGTTGTTTGATAAATAAATTGTGACTTGTATCAAAGAATTTTCTATGTGTATTTTCTTTGTTATCTTTGACTGTAACATATTCAGATACCAACACTGTGTTAACTTTGAATGTTTCGTATTCGCTAAGAGATCGTTGTACTTCGTTAAAAAACTGCTTTTTTGCGTCTTTAAAAAACTTTCTTAAATCAAAATATTTCAAGTTAACAATTAATGCTGTCATGAGTCGTCTTTCTAAAGTACTATTAACATCTTCGAGACTTACTATTTTATTGTTCTCATGAACAGGAAGTATTGTTGACGATATTACTGCTACTGTGGATGCCCCTGCAGCTGTACCTTTACCTTTATTAGAACATATTTTTGCTGCTTCCACTATTTCTAAGCGATAGTAAAGTAGCTGTATAAAAGTTTTCAGTAAAGATATAGTCGATCGAAATTTTTGCATTTCAGACGTTGTTAAATCATTATTTTTCTTTACTAAAAAAGATTACTTTCCTTAAGAACTGTGATACAGGTCTCTAATTGGATTTGAATATGAGCAGCATCATGTCAATTAATAGTTTGTTAGTATGTTTGCCAAAAATTCATCACAATTTTTTACAATTTTATTACTTTACAATTTATAAAATTTATACTTCCATTAACTTAATATTAAGGATTCATACTACTTTGTTTGTGGAGGAGGGGGGGGGATGCTTTGATGCACATCGCAGGGACAACGGTAGTGTGGGACTCTGGACTTTTTTAGTAGATTGCTAATATCCACTAAACCGCCCCCCCTCCATGCCGCGTGGCTTTAGTTCCACTCCCGAACCACGTTGGCATTACTTTAGGGTAGACCACCAGGGAAAACATTGAATCTCACAGAATTAGCGAGCAAACTCGCCACCAGCTGCTAGAGGTACAAATTATTTAGAGTCTTCAAAAGGACTCGGGGTCTCTGAGGACCAGCACCCATTGTCTAGCGCTACTTGTAGGCTGCAATCTTTGCAAGCACCACTAAATGCTTAGAGCTTTTCCTAGCAGATAAGTGAATGTACTTGGTGCAGCATGGGTCTGCATTAAACTGTCGCTTCACTCTGAAGCCCTACTGCTTCACTTGCACCCTACGTTAGCCCTCTTTCTAGTCCCTTCCAACGCTTGTCTAAATATTGGTCAGTTTTCACTGCCAGCTTCGTGTTTCATGACCCCACTCTTGCAAAAGAAATACCGTGCCGTTCTACTGCAATCTTTCTTGCGGTGATTTAAGCTCTCTCATCAAAATCACAACTTCGCTTTATTTTCGTCTTTGCAGTTGTGAAATACATGTCCATACCCCAGGCATCAAAAGCACGTTGTAACGGTAAGCCTTCTTCTGACACGGCAGGAGACGAATTTCATGTTGACTCTAACTTCGTGTTCTACTTAAATGGCAGCCACTTCATTAAGTGTTACTGACGCCATTCTCTACTTTTTACCGTTTTCTTTCAGAAGTTGTATCTTTAGATTTGATTTTGATTTTTGATAATCTTTTCAACGGACTCTTTGATTTTTTATTACACTTTTTTTTATCATAATTTTTGACAACCTAAAGAACATACACTTAATACATTTTTTTTCTTACAAAAATAATCTGAACAATTTTCTTTAATCTGACGCTTTCAGCTTACTCTTTTTGCAGTTTGTGCTTAACTCAATTGTTTAAATTTTTTTTATAGCCTCTTTTTTTCAGCCTTTTTAATTTTCTTACTGTGTCAGGCATTTTATTTCAAAATTATCTCATTTCCATTCATTCGCTCTCTTATCATCTTTTTTATTTCTTGTTCAATTACCTTAGGCTTTTGATTTTCAAGAGTTGCCTCCACCTTGAAGGTTAAAATATTTCGATCTTCGTCGGTCTATTTTTCTAGATTATTTCTTAGAAGCTTGTTACCTAATCGTACTACCAATGCTGAAACCAGCAAAGGAGCTTCACGTTGTGATGTAAGCTGTGATTGTTCATTGAATAATAAATAATTATTTTTTATATGTAAAATACAATTAATGTCTTAATTTCTTTTTTTTTACTAGTTATAGTATTCAAATTTTCAACATACCACAGTAAATCTTTTTCTTCTTTTTCTTTTACCATATTCATCATACTGAGTGTATGTATTGGAATGTTTTCCCAATCGGCTGCTACTGCTGCTATCGGCACTGTTTGATTCAGTGTAGACGGGACGTTTTCTTCTTTTATTGGTTCTGGCACTGTTTCGAAACTTTTATTTTGCTCCATTCACCATGAAACTGATGATGATAAAGCTGTTAAGGGCGATTTGACAGACAATATTTCCTCTATTCATGCAGCTTTAGATGCCGTTAGGGTGTTTTTTTCTAA